CATTGGATGTCATTGATAACGGGATCACATCATTAGGAGAATGATGTGATGGACAAGACCCAATCCTAAGCATAGCACTAGATCGTGTAGTTCGTATGCTAAAGCTTTTCTAATGTCAAGTATCATTTCCTTAGACCGTGAGATTGTGCAACTCCCGGATACCGTAGGAGTGCTTTGGGTGTGCCAAACGTCACAACGTAACTGGGTGGCTATAAAGGTACACTACGGGTATCTCCGAAAGTGTCTGTTGGGTTGGCACGAATCGAGACTGGGATTTGTCACTCCGTGTGACGGAGAGGTGTCTCTGGGCCCACTCGGTAGGACATCATCATAATGTGCACAATGTGATCAAGGAGTTGATCATGGGATGATGTGTTACGGAACGAGTAAAGAGACTTGCCGGTAATGACATTGAACAAGGTATCGGGATACCGACGATCGAATCTCGGGCAAGTATCGTACCGCTAGACAAAGGGAATTGTATACGGGATTGATTAAGTCCTTGACATCATGGTTCATCTGATGAGATCATCGTGGAACATGTGGGAGCCAACATGGGTATCCAGATCCCGCTATTGGTTATTGACCGGTGAGTCATGTCGGTCATGTCTGCATGTCTCCCGAACCCGTAGGGTCTACACACTTAAGGTTCGGTGACGCTAGGTTTATAGAGATATTAGTATGCGGTAACCCGAAAGTTGTTCGGAGTCCAGGATGAGATCCTGGACGTCATGAGGAGTTCCGGAATGGTTCGGTGGTAAAGAATTATATATAGGAAGTGCTATTTTGGCTATCGGGACAAGTTTCGATGTCACCGGTATTGTACCGGGACCACCGGAAGGGTCCCGGGGGTCCACCGGGTGGGGCCACCTGCCCCAGGGGGCCACATGGGCTGTAGGGGGTGCGCCTTGGCCTACATGTGCCAAGGGCACCAGCCCCAAGAGGCCCATGCGCCAAAGGGACAAGAGGAGGGGAGAGTCCTAAAGGGGGAAGGCACCTCCGAGGTGCCTTGGGGAGGATGGACTCCTCCCCCCCTTGGGCGCACCCTTCCTTGGAGGAAGGGGCAAGGCTGCGCCCTCCCCCTCTCCCTTGGCCCTATATATAGTGGGGGAAGGGAGGGCAGCACCAACCCTGAGCCCTGGCGCCTCCCTCTCCCTCCCATGACACATCTCCCTCCTCCCGCAGCGCTTGGCGAAGCCGTGTTGGAATCCCGCTGCTTCCACCACCATGCCGTCGTGCTGCTGGATCTCCATCAACCTCTCCTCCCCCTTGCTGGATCAAGAAGGAGGAGACGTCGCTGCTCCGTACGTGTGTTGAACGCGGAGGTGCCGTCCGTTCGGCGCTAGGATCATTGGTGATTTGAATCACGACGAGTACGACTCCATCAACCCCGTTCTCTTGAACGCTTCCGCGCGCGATCTACAAGGGTATGTAGATCCACTCCTCCCTCGTTGCTAGATGACTCCATAGATAGATCTTGGTGACACGTAGGAAAATTTTGAATTTATGCTACATTCCCCAACACGTACTCCATGCCTGTACCGCACGCCCCTGTCCCCGGCTTCTTCGGCGCCCGCCCGACCTCTCATCAGGCGCTTTATGCGGCCCCTCAACAGTACCCTCCCGCGCCGCTCTACGACCCCTTTGCGGCCTATGGGCTGCCCTTGGCCGGTGGGTTCACGCCGCCGCCACCACAGCCGCCGCAGTCGGCCCTGGCCCTCCCATCGGCGCCTTGGGACCCCGCACTTCTAGCGACCCTCCACACTGCCCCCACGCTGCAGCAATACATTGGCGGTAGTGACTGGTATATGGACACTGGAGCCACGGCTCACATGGCCGCCAACCCCGGTAACCTTCTTACCGCTCACCCCGTTCATACCGTTGCTCGCATTACCGTGGGCGACGGTTCTTCCATGCCTATTACTCATGTTGGCCATGCTTCTTTTCCTTCTAACTACATGCCATTATATCTTTCTAACGTACTTGTCTCTCCTGACATAATTAAGAACCTTGTTTTCGTCCGTTCTCTTACAGGTGAAAATCCTGTCACCGTTGAATTTGATATGTTTGGCTTTTCTATTAAGGATGCCCGTACCCGGATGGTGCTCCACCGATGTGACAGCCCCGACGAGCTCTACCCGGTCCACTCATCCACCTCCTCCGTTGCTGCACCCATGGCGCTTTCCGCCAGAGTGGAACTTTGGCATGCTCGTCTCGGTCATCCCAACACCGCCACCTTTCGTCATATTCTTTGGAGTTTTTCCTTCATGTGTAATAAGATCGACACTCACACTTGTCATGCTTGTCGTCTCGGCAAACATGTTCGTCTTCCTTTTAGCACTTCCTCGCATGTTGCTTTATACCCGTTTGAGTTAATTCATAGTGATGTTTGGACCTCTCCTATTGCAAGTAACATTGCCTATCTTTATTATCTTGTCATACTTGATGATTTTTCACACTATGTGTGGACCTTCCCGTTGCGGCGAAAGTTGGATTCTGTTGCCACTCTCACCGCGTTCTACTCCTATGTCTCCATGCAGTTTGGACGTCCCATTCATGCATTGCAAACAAACAACAGGAAGGAGTTTGATAACCTTGCGATCCGCAACCTTCTCGCCACACACGGCATGATTTTTCGTCTCACTTGCCCGTACACTTCGCAACAAAATGGCCACACTAAGCACGTGCTTCGCACTCTTAATGACTGCGTCCGCACCCTCATCTTTCATGCCAACGTGCTACCACGTTTTTGGCCTGACGCGCTAGCCACCGCATCACTACTCATCAACATTCGTCCCTGTCGCACTCACGGGAATTTTCCACCTCATCACCTTTTGTTCGGCATGCCACCCTCCTATGCTGAGCTTCGCATCTTCGGTTGTCTATGCTACCCTAGCATCGCTTCCACTACTCCTCATAAGCTTGCACCTCGGTTCGTGGCCTGCATCTTTCTCGGCTATCCCCCCAACACCAAAGGTTACTGCTGCTATGATCCTATCTCACATCAGGTGACCACTTCCCGACATGTTTACTTTGATGAGATGGTTTTTCTGATTCAGCATGTACCTTCGAATGTTGCGGCCTTGCCCGCTCCCGGTGATGGTCGTTCGCGTGCTTCTCTTGGGCCGCCTCCTGGCTTTGAGGGTGCCCCCCACGCCACGGGTCGAGTTTCTCCCCGGTTGGCTGCCTTAGGGGCTGCACCCCTCCCGGTGCCCACGACGCCCTTGGCGTCCCCGGCCCTGACCACGTCGTCGGCCTCCCCGACGACCGCGCCGCCATCGGCCTCCCCGGCGGCTGTGAGGCCTCCCGCGTCCCCTGCACCCTCCCCGGCGTCCCCCGCGGCCTCGCCCGCGGCCTCGGAGGTGGCGGGCTCTTCTTCGTCATCGCCCGCCGCCACCCCGGACTTGTTGCCCCACCCGATGACTCGCTCCCGGGCTGGCACTTTTCGTCTAAGCACGCGGTACACCAGCGATGAGTACCTTCTCGCTGCTTCCGTCTCTGAGTCGTCCCCTCTCCCATCGTCAGATCGGGCCGCCCTTTGGGATCCTCATTGGCTCACTACGATGCAGGAAGAGTTTGACGCGCTCCAGCGGAACCATACTTGGCAGCTTGTCCCTCGGCCGCCTCGTGCCAACATCATCACGGGCAAGTGGGTCTTTCGGCACAAGACTCATCCGGATGGCACTCTTGAGCGCTATAAAGCTCGCTGGGTGGTTTGGGGCTTTCGGCAACGTGCGGGCGTGGACTTCACCGACACCTTTGCCCCGGTTGTTAAACTGGGTACGATCCGCACCGTGCTTCAGCTAGCCGTCTCCCGATCTTGACCTGTGCATCAGTTGGACGTTTCCAACGCCTTCTTGCACGACCATCTCGCTGAGCAAGTGTTATGTGAGCAGCCCACCGGCTTCGTTGACGCTGCGCATCCAGACCATGTGTGCTTGCTCTCCCGTTCCCTTTACGGGTTGAAGCAGGCGCCTCGGACCTGGTACCAGTGCATTGCTGCCTTCCTGCAGACGCGCGGATTTACATCGACTCGCTCTGATGCGTCCCTCTTCGTGTACCATCATGGAGCTGACACGGCCTACTTGCTGCTGTACATCGACGACATCATCCTGACGGCATCCACTGCCGCGCTCTTCCGGCGGCTTACTGCTCGTCTTCGTGATGAGTTTGCCCTGAAGGACTTGGGGTCCCTGCACTACTTCCTTGGCATTGAGGTGGTTCGACGGCCAGATGGGTTCTTCTTGCACCAGCAGCGCTACACCCATGAGCTTCTTGATCGCGCCGGCATGCTTAGCTGCAAGCCCTCTCCCACGCCTGTCGACACCAAGGCCAAGGTCTCTGCTCTGGAGGGTTCTCCTGCATCCGATGCGGATTTATATCGCTCCATTGTGGGTGCTCTGCAGTACCTGACCCTGACGCGCCCCCTCTCGTTCCCAACAATAATCAACAAACAAGCTTGTCACGCTTGTAATGCTAGGTCGAAAAGCTCAAGATCTCTCAAATCAAGTCCTCCATCCTTTTTTGGTTGTGTCATCGTTTGCCACGAGATCCAATGAGGCTTTCGCTTACCCTCTTTACTTCCCCAAAAGAATTGTCAAATAAGCCTATTTAAATGTTCACACACCCTCCCTGAGGAGCTTGAAACATGATATAAAAAAATCGGGGCTGCTTGCGCCACTGACTTAATCAAAATTTATTTTCTTGCGGCAGGGATTGCTTTCTCAATCCATCCTTTTACCTTACTCCAGAGCCTATCTTTTAGATACTTGAACGCCCCAGTTTTTCTAATGTCGACGTGGAAAACCTAACAAGGGATCGTCTACAGCAAAAAAAAAGAGGGTGAATTAAGTGGGCCGATCCACTGGGTTGTTGCTATACGAACAAGACGGCCCGTTAGAAGTATTTCCAAATTAGGAAGAGGCGAAGAGCCCAGCACATGATTCTCAAAAAAAACAAAGAGCCCAGCACATGGACTGCGAGTGTACACTGGCCAACTAATGGGGAAATCACCTAAAAAACAGTGGGGAAAAATCCTAAAAAAAACAGTGGGGAAAAGGTTCAAAGAGGAGTATTCGCTACTCAGACCGTGGGACGACGACCGGGGGATCGGATCGGCGGCGATGGCGGCGGCGGCGCGGGATGGGGAAGCGAGGCGGGCGCACGCGGCGATGGTGGGGTCGCAGTTCATCAACGCGGGGTACCACGTCATCGCGAAGCAGGCGCTCAACGTCGGCGTCAACCGCGTCGTCTTCTGCGTCTACCGCGACCTCCTCGCGCTCTGCGTGCTTGCTCCCATCGCCTTCTTCCGCCACCGCGGCTCGCCCGCGCAGGCTCGTCCGCCGCCCGTCACGCGTCGCCTCCTTACCTCCTTCTTCTTCCTCGGGCTCACGGGGTAAGCCTGGCCACGCGGTCGCTCGGTGTCAGACACGCCGACCGCTTGAAGCAATGCTGCTTATGTACTTGCAAATGTCGTGCTCTGATGCGTCTGGTTGTTTGTCCTGTAGCATCTTTGGCAACCAGCTGCTGTTCTTGTTCGGCCTCGGCTACACCAATCCGACATACGCCGCCGCCATTCAGCCGTCAATTCCCGTCTTCACTTTCATCTTGGCCCTCGTCATGGGGTCAGTCTCGCTCAATCTTGAAAAATGTTCAGAGACTCGCATCTCTCTTTGTTTGTCGGTTTAAGCATTTTACCATTTTCAGCACTGAAACGGCGAGCTTCGTCACACACGAGGGCCGTGCCAAGGTTGGTGGCACCATCGTCTGTGTGCTTGGTGCTGTTCTCATGGTGTTGTACAGGGGGGCAGCTGTGTTTGGTAGCAGCGAGTTAGATCTTGATGTTCAGAGCAATGTCGTCATCACCGAGATGTTGCAACCTGAGCCAGGATCATCTTGGTTCATTGCATATGGGCTGGAAAAGTGGCATATCGGAGTGCTATGTTTAATAGGGAACTGCCTCTGTATGGCAACTTATCTTGCTTTGCAGGTATTAATGATTTTCAGGCTATTGTCGCACTCTATTCCGTTTGCATTTGATGTTTGTCAACTCGGAACACCTCGAGCTTTAGTTTTCTATCAAGCATATGCATGGCACAAGTACTGAAAGGCTGAAAGCCTCTGTAAGTTAGATCAGTAAATCTTATAGGGCAACTTCAGATCACAGCAACTCTATTTAGTACACTCTGTTTTGATGAATATTTCAGTCCCAATTCCTAACAGTTTCTCTGCCTTCTTGCCATTCTTGAAGTGAGAAGGATACTAAAATTTAGGCCGGCTTTGCTCTTCCTAGAAAAGGCCCATATTTATGCTGTGTGGCCAACTGGCCTTTGCTTAATATTGAACATGGTATGTTTTTTGGTGAATTGTCACAAGAAGATTTGTCATGGGCCGAGGAAATCATACTTCATTTTAAGAACCAATATCACTATACTAATAGAAGGAAATCACCCTTTTAACATTGTTGAAAATATGTTTATGTATTAGACTTACTTTGGTATCTTGCTATTCAAGGTTGAAACTTATGCTACAAGATCTATGTGCTCTGATTTGTATTGCAGAAAGTTTTCTTGTTATTTTATACTACTATGTTCATGTGTTGTTATTTCAGGCTCCAATTTTGGTGAAGTACCCTTGCAGTTTGTCATTGACAGCTTACTCATACTTTTTTGGAGCTCTTTTAATGCTTATTTCCGGAGTTTTTTCAACAACCAGTAAAGAAGATTGGACTTTGACTGCATCTGAGTTTGCGGCTGTTGTATATGCTGTAAGCTTTGTGTTAGTTTTATTTTTCCCATGCGTGGGACCATGAATTGAATTTCTACATGTATGTAGTACTGTGGCGAAGATAATTGTTGCAAACTTGCAAAATACGCTAGTTTGTGTAGGCTATAGAAGAAATAGTTGACGCATGCCACCATAAATATTCTATACTGAAATTCTCCTATTCCCCCCCTATTTCAGGGAGTTGTTTCATCTGCTCTTAATACTGGTTTATTGACATGGTCCAACAAAATTCTGGGCCCAGCTATGGTGGCACTATATATGCCTCTCCAGCCAGTGCTCTCTGCTCTCTTGTCAGTGCTCTTTCTGGGCAGTCCAATTTATTTCGGAAGGTAAGAGTATGTTTATCATATGTTCTATTCTTTAGAGTTAACATTTTCTATTTATCCTTTCTTTTAAGTGAAAAATACTTTTCCAGACCTCTTCTACTTGTTAATATGTGTATGTAGTAATGTAGGATATGCACATTGATGTCTTGTTCTATTTGACCATCTGATAAAGTGATAATCTGAAAGGTCGATAGTCCAAGTTTCTAACATTGATTATTAAAGTTCAGTTTTTTTTCTTCATAGCAATAAATGTTTATCATCTCCTTTGATCTGAGGTATAATCTGCTCTGTTTACTTGCAGTATTATTGGAGGGTTTCTAATCATCTCTGGTTTATACATTGTCACCTGGGCGCGACGTAGAGAAAACTTGACTGCCACTGGAGTACCTTATGTAAAATGTGCATTGGAGCCATGCGACGGTGCTTCTCAAGTCATAAAGGGCGGTAACCTCAGCCCCAGGCCCTTTATATCCCTTTCTAGGCTGTGGAATGTGCCACATGAATCTTGAGAAGTTGGTCTACGCAACTTCTGCTAGGCATCTGCTTTGATGAGGAAAAATACAGAATGCATTAGATGTTAGGAAGAGAAGTGCTGCAGAGAAGATTGCACTGAAGATTGTTAACGATGTTGGCATCTGTGTCCTCTGCAGAAAATCATACTCTCATACCTTCCATAGGAGCTGTTAGGTTAATTTAGACAAAAGAGAAGCCATGTTCATGCTGTTTTTCTAGGCTAACAACACACTGAGGATGCTGAATTGATTATTCTATAACCAAATGCAAGGTAGCTCCACCGACTTCGTGAAATCCAGTAGTATGTATATCCCGTGAAATCCCTACATACATACATATGTATGAACTCTGTAGCCATTGATGTCATGTGTGTAAAACTTTGAGAGAAATGAAACTCTCTTATCTGTGAAGTTCTCGTAGTTCATACCTTGTTTCGTACTACTACTCAATGAGTTAGCAATTCTGCAGGCTGGATGTGCGTTGCAAGTATTTTCCAGGCTGTTTTTTTGTACTGCAGGTATGTTTTTCACCGATAGTTCTTTCTTGTAAAAATGTAAATGCTACACATGAGATACCAATTTCACCTATGTGTATGTCATGGGATCCTATACATGACCTACCCATGCACCACTCTGTTGGTCTACTATTATACATCGCGCGATCAATCCATGGCGCGGAAACATCTGGCAGTGGTGTGCCTGAATCTGATGATCATTGATGCTGTGACCGGAGCTCGGCCTTCGTGACGAACAGGCCGTGGAAGCCGTAGGGGACGCGGGAGGGAAGCTGCACCTCGGCGACGATGTCCAGCTCGGGCGACTGCGCGTCCATCACCACGAACCGGTTGTCGCCGGTGCCCTCGTCGTGCACGTAGCACACCACGTAGCCGTCGTCCTCGTCGCCGTTCCCCTCGACGTCGTCGGGGACGAAAAACGGCTCCCCGGCGAAGCACCCCGGCCCGAAGTCCCGGCGCGCCACGGTGCAGTCGCCGTGGCCGGCGCGGTCGAAGTCGAGCTTGGCCACCCCGCCGATCTTGGGCATGGGGGCGCCCACGCCGAAGTAGCCGTAGCGGTTGCGGCGGCCAAGGCAGCCCGGGTTGATCACGCCGAAGTCGAGGTTCGCCGCCGCGAGCGGCGTGCGGGTGACGTTGCCGGTGCGGAGGTTGATGCGCACCAGCTCCACGGAGGCGTGGATCAGCTCCATGCGCTCCAGCGTGTGCTCGATGGACAGGATGTTGGGCGCCACCATCACGATCTCCTCGCCGCCTGCCTCCTCCCACGCGTTCACCGAGTGCATCATGTTGAACCCCGGCACCTCGAACCACCGCATCTCCGACTCGTCCGCGGCGTACTTGGGGATCACGCCGAGGCGAGGCACCATGCCGGGGTCCGCCCCGACGGGCGAGCCGCCGCCCACCACCATGCCCATGGGGTTCATCACGATCTGTATCTCCGGGAATATCGCATAATGCTCCGTCACGGCGAAGTCGTGCAGGAAAGACGGCTGCTTGACGGAGAAGATGGGCACGTCGGCGCCCTTGTTCCCTGCCGGGTCGAACCGGAAGTAGGTGACGAACGGCGGCATGGGGCCGTAGCGGAACGCGAAGAGCTCGCCGGTGATGGGGTCCTTCTTGGGGTGCGCGGTCATGCCCATGCTGAGGCGGCCACCGAAGTCGCACCTGCCGAGCGTGGTCACCTCACCGGTGGCCGGGTCGACGCGCACGGCGTACGGGAGGTCCGATTCGCCGAGCGCGTAGAGGCGGCCGCCGAAGACGGCGAGGCTGGTGTTGGCGAGCCCCACGCCCTCCATCGGGTTCATCTGGCCTGTCAGCACCCTGGCCGCCGTGACGGCGCCGCGCGCCATCCCGGCCAGGCCGTGGAAGCCGGAGAAGACGTTGGGCAAGACCGGCTCGCCCGCGTTGCGCTCCACGATGTACTTGTACGTTTGCACGTAGCGGGAGCAGAGGACGGGGTCGGAGTCGGGCGCCGTCGGGAGGAGCAGAGAGTGCAGCATGCCGTCGCCGTCGAAGAGGTGGTGCGGCCCGCGCGGGAGATGCTGCGGGTTGGGCCCGTTGCGGATGTAGGCGCCGCCGGCGAGGCAGCGCGGGATGACGCCGCGCACCACGGGGCAGGGCGTGGGCGGCAGCTCGTCCACGGGCGCGAAGTTGGCGGACAGCACGTGCCGCGGGTCCACCGACGGCCGCAGCACCGGCGGGTCGACGAACGTGTTGATCGCCTCCTCCAGCGCGTTGCAGAACGCCGCCTGTAGCGAAGCAGTAGGCCGGCGGCGAGGCCTGGACGACCGAGGCGCATCGGTTGCCCTGCTCGTTCTCGCGGTAGCCACTCGTGTACCAGTTGCATTGTTTGTCGACGTGTCGACCAGGTGCTCTTCCGTCTCTTGCTGCTCGACCGGCTTGGGCGGCGAGGTGAGGACAGTGGCGGTGGCGGCAGCCGACGGCGGCGGGGGCGACGTGCCCTTCCTCCGTCTGTAGCTGGGGTTCGGAGCAGCAGCAGAAGAGGCAGCAGGGGAGATGTAGGAGAGCCTCCTCGATCTCGGAGCATGAGCAGCATTGGCTTTGGCGGGGTAGAGATCAGACATGCTGAAGTTGGAGGTGACAAGTGCTCCCTCCATTTTCTGCAATCTGCAGATCAATGGCTCTTTGGATTGCTAGTGGATGGGTAGCAATTTCTTTGTTGAGTAGCAGCAAACGCTCACACCAGTTCGCACGCTGCTGCCTTTTGCTGCTTGTATGCTATGCTATGGCTATATATAGCCTCGGTAAAAGGCAAACTTACCTGGTGGAAATGTTTATTTGGTGAAAACTTCAACGATTACGTGAACCGTTGGATCACAGCGACCGCACAATGTGGGAGGATGAAGTGTTGCGCTAGGGTGTTTGGTTTGTGCACAAGTTTTCCTAAAATTTGTTTGAGTTTTTTTTTTGCCCATGAGTTGGTCAACAATGGCAAGAAAAATGAACTAGAGTTGTTAGAAAAATTTACATGTTTTTTTTTGTGTTTCATCAAGTTTTAGATACCATTAGGTGATTGGGTTCGCCGGAATTACAGGAGTTCTTGTGTTTTTTTGTTTTATTTGCTCGAATATATCTCAAGATTCATCAAATTGTGCCAAAACTTTGGATTTTTGATGTCATAATTCTTTTGGCCCGAAATGTAAATCTTTGGAGGGTCATTGGGAGGACTGAGATGGTGAATTTGTGAGTAGCCATCGAACGGTCTACACTCCCAACATTTTATGCTTTCACCAAATGGACAACTCCATAGGCTACTTATTGTTGATGTGATCTAGGAAGATAAGATAGAATCCTAGAACTGGTGTCTGGACCATGTATGAAAAAGAAGTGCGAAGGTTTTCAAGTGGCTAGCTTGGAAAGGGTGCGTCCACACAATTTCGTTTGAAGTGCTAGGCAACTGTCCAGTCCTGCTATAAATTACATGCTTTGGTTATAGGTAGATGTATAAAAATAACTAATTTTTTCACTTCTGAGTCCCCAAAACCACTCTCCAATAGATGATGTAGATATAAAAAAAAATTACATCTCAACCTTTCGGAGATGTAAAACACAACATTTCGCGATGCAAATTTGCATCTTCATCTACTCCCTCCGTTCTTCAAAGAGTGTACTTTCAACTTTGTTGGAGGGTCAAACTATGTCAAAGTTTAACCGAGTTTGTGTAAAAATATATCAATATTTGTGAAACCAAATAGGTATATGATGAAAATATATTTTACATGAATCTAATGCTATTAATTTGAAGACATAAATGTTAGTGTATTATTGTATAAATGTGGTTAAACATAAAAACTTTTGACTTTCCAACAAAGTTGGAAGTACACTCTTTTAAGGACGGAGAAAGTACAGGAGATGTAAAACTGACGTCCACGCGCCAACTACCCAACCGCTTTCATTTTCCTTCCGCCTGCTCGCCAGTCACTTGCCTGCCGCCTGTCGACCGTCGTCGGGCCATGGCCGACTTCGACGACCCTGCCGCATCCTCCGCCGCAACCGCCCACCCCGCCAGGGCCTTCGCTGGCGCGACCACCATCCCCGATCCCACCTTCGCCTCCATGTCACCGCCCCGGTTTTGCCCCACCCCAGTCGGTCGCCATCGCGGCTGCCGCCCCACTGCCAGATCCGACCACTCCACCGCCCCCGCCTCCAAATCGACATAATTGGCCACTTCTTCGCCGTTGAATCGCCGCCGCACCACCACCGGATTCGAGCCGCACACCCGCCGCCATGCTGCTGCAGCTTATCCGCTGCCAAACTCGACCTTCTCGCGTCGCATGATTGTCGCCCCGCTGTCCCTTTGCGACCAATTTGCCGCTCGATTCACAACTGCGCCGCCGACCATTCGAGCACCAACCGCCGCATTCGACTTCCTGGCTCTCGTCGCTCAGCCGCTGGTGCTCGGTCCGCCGGTGCTCCTGCCGTCTCTCAGCGCTCGGCCGGCGGCGCTCATGCCGGCTAGTTTTACATCTCCATTTGCACCATCTATTGGAGTTACACTTTAAGATCTTCAATATACTCCAAATTTTAGAGTACATCATCTAAAGTTGTCTCTTTTTTTAGATGTAAAATGCATTTTTTGGAGATGTAATTTTTTTTTTAGAAAAGGAGGATCACCCCCGGCCTCTGCATCTGATCGATGCATGGAGCCATTTTATTAATTATTCTCAGAGACCTTACAAAGCATTACATCAGTATAAGCCTGGAACCACCATCCTGGCGACACCTGTCGCTACTCCTACCCCCTTGATGCAGGGGTGCCGAATGTCCGAGCCTAATACCAAACAGACATTGCACCAAAACTTAACATCTAAAGCCGGATGCCCCATCCCAGCCACATACCGGGAATGGGTCACACACCGGTCCGGCGCACTCACCGAGGCTACCGCCGCCGTCATCCACATAACCATCTCCAGAGCAGGCACCGACGCAAAGACCTTGCCAGGTCAACTGTCAACGCCACCA